GCCATATGGGGCATAATGCTCGAATTTTGGTGATGTGTCTTTTGTTCCAATTTCTCCTAACGGAGCCTACTCGCCTAGGCCTAATAACAATCAGCTGGTCGAGAAAGCGGAAGCGCCGTGTTTTTCATGTGATGTTCATGGAGGAGATGGTTGATATTTTCTCTCTTTTTCTATTCTCTATTTACGCTCAGAAACAAGGTGCAGCTGTTTAGAAGCGAAGCGCATACGAGATAAAGAATAAAGGCGATTATGTTACGAAGGTCAAAGTTCAGGTCATTACTTTCACTCCATTTTTTTCTTGAGGATTACCGGTGTGTCACTGCGAAAGTGTTTGCTTCTTTCTGATGTTCTGTATAAAAATTGTTTTGTAATATTTTTTCTATCAGCAATGATCTAATGCACGCACACACGCACACGCATTCGAACACGCGCATGCGCACTCATACAAACACGCGTACGCGTCTCGCACACATGCAGAATCGAACGCACGTACTCACACGCAATCGCACGTACACAGTCGCACGCACGCATAGTCGCACGTTCACAGGCACACACACGAACTCGCACACGCATACGGACGCGCACACGCACACGGACTCGCATAGCACACGAACACACGCACACACCACACGCGCACACAGACACACGCACGCAGACACACGCACGCAGACACACGCACGCACGCACGCACACACGCGCGCGCGCACACACACACACACACCACACACACACACACACACACACACACACACACACACACACACACACACACACACACAACACACACACACACACACACACACACACACCACACACACACACACACACACACACACACACACACACACACACACACACACACACACACACACACACACACAGCACCACACCACACTCAAGCATACACACATGCACACACACATATGCACACCCACACCACACACATGTGCACACATACCCAAACACATGTGCACACATACACATATGCACACATACACATATGCACACATACACATATGCACACATACACATATGCACACATACACATATGCACACATACACATATGCACACATACATATATGCACACATACACATATGCACACACTCACATGGGCACACCCACACACATATGCACACCCACACACATATGCACACCCACACACATACGCACACCCACACACATACGCACACCCACACACATAGGCACACCCACACACATAGGCACACCCACACACATAGGCACACCCACACACATAGCACACCCACACACATGCACACCCACACACATATGCACACCCACACACATATGCACACCCACACACATATGCACACCCACACACATATGCACACCCACACACATATGGCACACCCACACACATTATGCACACCCACACACATATGCACACCCACACACATATGCACACCCACACACATGTGCACACCCACACACATGTGCACACCCACACACATGTGCACACCCACACACATATTTATACCCACACACATATGCACACCCACACACATATGCACACCCACACACATATGCACACCCACACACACATGCACACCCACACACATATGCACACCCACACACATATGCACACCCACACACATATGCACACCCACACACATATGCACACCCACACACATATGCACACCCACACACATATGCACACCCACACACATATGCACACCCACACACATATGCACACCCACACACATATGCAACATACACACACATATGCAACACACACACACATATGCAACACACACACACACACACATATGCAACACACACACACATATGCAACACACACACATATATGCACACCCACACACATATGCACACCCACACACATATGCACACCCACACACATATGCACACCACACACATATGCACACCCACACACATATGCACACCCACACACATATGCACACCCACACACATATGCACATCCACACACATATGCAACACACACACACACACATATGCACACACACACATATACACACACACACACATACACACACACACACATATGTACACACACACATATGCACACCCACACACATATGCACATCCACACACATATGCAACATCCACACACATATGCACACACACACATATGCACACACACACACATGCACACACACACAATATGCACACACACAACATATGCACACACACACACATATGCACACACACACACATATGCACACACACACACTATGCACACACACACATATGCACACACACACATATGCACACACACCATATGCACACACACACACACATATGCACACACACACACATATGCACACACACACATATGCACACACACACACATATGCTCACACACACACATATGCACACAGACACACATATGCATACAGACACACACTCATATGCATACACACACACATATGCACACACACATACACGCACACACACACCACAACACACACACACACACACACACACACACACACACACACAACACACACACACACACACCACACACACACACATACACACACACATACACACATACACACACACATACACACACACACACACACACACCACACACACCACACACACACACACACACACACACACACACATACACACACATACACACACACAAACACAATACACACACACACACACATACGCACACACACACACACATACACACACACAACACACACACATACACACACACACACACACAACACACAACACACACATACACACACACACACACACACACCACACACACACACACACACACACACACCACACACACACACACACACACACACACACACACATACACACACACACACACACACATACACACACACACACACACACACATACACACACACACCACACACACAACACACAACACACACACACACACACACACACACACACACACATACACACACACACATACACACACACACATACACACACACACACATCAACACACACACACATACACACACACACACATACACACACACACATACACACACACACATACACACACACACATACACACACACACACATACACACACACACACACACACACACACACACACACACACACACACACACACACACACACACACATGTGCACACACACACACACACACACATGTGCACACACAACATATCACACATGTGCACACACATATCCACATATGTGCACACATGTGCACACACACACATCATCCACACATATGCACACACCACACCCACTCACATGTGCACACACACACACACACACACACACACACCACCACCACACACACACACACACAACACACACACACACACACACACATGTGCACACACACATTCCACACATGTGCACAACACACATATCCACACATGTGCACACACATATCCACATATGTGCACACATGTGCACACACACACACATAT